AGTTCAGATCTATTATTATTTTGTATCAATAGGTTTCTACTAATAGTCGTTACTTGAGATATTCAGAGAGATTTTAATTCAATTAGATGTGAATTTTTCAACTGAATTGCATGATACACGTAACATTATATTTACAATCACGATTCCACTAAAAAACTCATATATAACTCTAAACTCAAATATAAGTATCTCATTTGAGACAAGTTTCAAGTAACGACTATTAATACAGATCTAAGATCAAGCACACATGTATATAAGATAAAAGCACCAATTCAGGATACATACTTAATCCTGGACATTCTGATCGTTTTGGTCATTAAGCTTAAACTACTACTAATATCCGCCTTTTATGTTTGTTTTAGAAGCTATCCCCTCTACTCATTATAATTACTCCATTTATGCGGATTTTCGATAATATATTCTATATTATATTATAATATATTCTATATTTGCTTGTTAAATATAGTTTTATTTACGATCTCTTTTCCTTATTGATTCCCTGTTGCTCAACAGAAAAATTCTGAGACCAAATAATTTGAGAAATATCCGCTAAAAAAGTAGATATTAGTAACCAACACTGAAAAAATATGTTAAATAATCTAAGGTTTTAAATACAAATATTTAAACTTTGAACATAAAAAAAAATATATTTATGTTATCAGCATTGTGTGAAATTCAGATATAGAATACCTAAGCATTCTACAGAATGTCTATCAGTTTTTATATAAATGCTTAGGCATTTCATATATAATACCTAAATATTTTCTGCAAAGCCGGATTTCTTACTTTGCTGATAACATATACATAAATTCTACGTTGAAAGTTTTATATAGTAAGTACTCTTATTTAAAAATCGAAACAAAAATATATAGGATTAAGTATGTGTCTGAGAATTAATACTTTTACCTAATTATCCTTTTATCAAGTAATAAGATTATTCGCTATTAACGTATTTACATCTCAATGAACGTACGTCGCTTTGGTATTCTCGATATATATTTACGCGTAAGACTCAAGACTCGTCTGCAATACGCAGTATAACTTATATACGCAGTATATAAGTTTAGCATAATTTGGAGTAAAAAATCAAAATAATTTATTTCCCTTATGCCTACTATTCTAGCTTCTTCACACTCTTATTTAAGAGAGATACTTCCAGTGTAAGGGAGCTAGAGTATAGGAGGGGGGATTCATAAACGAAATAAATTATTTTTATTTCTTACTCCAACTTACTCCACGCCAAGCTTACTCCATGTATTGTAGAAACGAGCCTTCACTTTCCACAAGCAAAAAACTCATAAACGCAGAACGATGTCGATCGATGTGTTAATAGCGGTTATTCGACGCAACATGATAGGAGATAGTCGTGCAATTGCCTACGTATGTCGCAAATGCCAAAATGTAAACAGTGCCGCAGTTCGACAAGGACGCGCTCTCGCGGGTACATCCCTCTTTCTCTTGCTAACAGACCGATACTATCCCTCCCGAGATCTAGCACCGCGAATATCTCCTGGCGTCATATTATCTATCTATCTTTCCAATTACTACCGAATTTCCGATTAAGAAATCCGATGATCGCCTAATTCTATTATTACTTGTGCGAGTCGATGATAATAACAAGATTACGAGACGCCGACTCGGCATGTCGCGATAAGTACCGGTTGTATAGTAGAAAACGAGGCGATTACTCCCTAATAATGTACTTACGATATATCCCGACTGTCGCACGTTGCTATTTTCGGCACTCCTAATACTTATTTCCACGAGAGATTCACTTTCGACGGACTAAAAACGCGGAGTGATGTCGATCGATATGTTCATGGCGCGGTTGCTCGACGCAAAAAGATCGATTTTGAAGATGGCTACGCAATTGTTCGTATACGCCGCAAGTGCGCGCCAAAACGCGAACAGTACAGTCGCAACTCGACAAGGACGCGCTCTGTAGGATATGCCCGCCTCTTTCTCCCTCTTGCTAACAAACCGACGTTACCTTCCGAGATTCTACATCACGAGTATCTCTAGCGTTTCATTATCTATCCTTCGGATTATGTATACACCACCGAATTTCCGGCTAATAAATCCGACTATTACTACTTGAGCGAGTCGATGGTAACAACAAAGTTAAGAAACACTAACTTGATACGGCGCGACAGATATCGGTTGCATGTAGCGAAAAAATTAATTAAACGAGGAAATTACTCCCGAGAATAATGTACTTACGATGCGTCTCAACAATCGCCCGTCACTATTTTCGCCACTCTCGATACTCATTTCTGCACGAGTCTCACTTTCAACGAGCTAAAGACGCGTAAGCGGTCAATGGAGTAGGTTCCACGACCAAGTACCAACAACAACAATAACTCTATCTCTCTCTCTTTCTCAATATTGGTTCCAGGTAATCCTACGATTTTCCCCAACACCATTCTAATACAACACAATAACAAAGACGCGTAAAATGTGGAGCGATGTCGATCGTATTGATAGTCGTTATTCGATGCAAAAACATCGATATCTAAGATGGCCGTGCGATCGATTACGTAGTACGTCGAAAACGCGCGCAACGACAGGAACGATACCGACAAGGACGCACTCTATAGAGTACATCCCTCCCTCCCATCCTACCTCTCTCTATCTCTCCCTTGCTAACGGACTTCGACGCTACCTCCCGAGATTTTTTTAGCGTCGTTTTTTCTCTTTCTCTCTGATTGTCTCACCGAATTTTCGATTAATAATTCGACGATTACCCGATTCTGTTATTACTTGAACAAGCAATAATAAAAAAGTTAACAAGCAAGGTTAATAAGCACCGACTCGACACATCGCGACAAGCACCGCTTATATATATCGAGAAAAGGTAGATATTACTCCCTAATAAAATGTACTTACGATATGTTCCGATGATCGCCCATCGCTATTCTCGGCATTCCCGATACTTATTTCCGCACGAGACTCACTTTCAACGGACTAAATACGCGTAAAACGCAGAGCGATATCAATCGATGCTTCCATGGTGGTTGCTCGATACAAAAAGGATGAAAATGGCCGCGCGATTGATCACATACGCCGAAAATTTGCGCAACGACGTGAACGTGTCGCGGGTGCTCTGCCATTCGATAGTTACTAACAATTTCCGACCAGTCACACTCGTGTCTTTAGCTACGCGTTTCTCATTATTATTAATTAATCCAAAAAATAAATTTCCGTTTTTTGGATTAATCAACAATTATGAGAAATACAGAATTAAATACGGATGTCGGAAACTTTTGATAAAAGCTTTTAGTAAATATCGATCTACCTATTGATAGGTATTTACGGGACCGTGTCTATACTTCGAGTGTATGCTTCTGCAATGTATTTTTATTTTTTTTTTCTTTCTGCAGAAAGCAGATCGAAGAAACGGAGAGCGGAAGCGAATGAGGAGTAGAAAAGTAGGAACTCAAAGAAGAGCGGGAGTCCAAATTGCATTTACGGTCTTGACCGTGGAAGAAGGCGAAATGATATTAAGACACCGGTGGCCCTTCGTCGGGGTCGATGTATCATTTGCCGGCGGGTCGTTAAGCGGTTTCAATTAGTTTCCCCGTGCAGGTCCTCCTCCGCACCCACACACGTGTACATGGACGAATGAGGGGGAAAGCCCACCGCCACCCGGCTTAATCGCGCGGTTCAGTTTTTTCTCATAATTAGGAAAAGCTCGTTAATACATCCCGGATATATCTTTCCCGCACGTCGACAACCAGTTTCGACGAGTGTAAGTTCGAGCGTTCGTCTACGTTTCTGACGAAAGTCTCGTAAACGCGCAAATTGAGACGAAAATTTAATGCTAATCGCGAATTAAGATATAAAATGTTAGAAAAAAAACATTAACAGATAATCGTACGGTAGATCGATCTGCATATTTCATTGTATCGATGTTAAATAAAAAAAAAGGATAAATCCATCTTTACGTTGCATTATTTAACGTTGTTAAATTATTATTGATAAAAAAATTATTAAAAAAAGAGCGTTTTTGATGAAAATACATTTAGAAAGACGTCTGCTTAATTAATATTAAGGCTCTGCTACCTCCGCGTAGAAAGTCAGAGTTGACGTTGGCGCCTAACAATGTCGAGAACACGAAATAACCATGTCAGTGTAGCTGATTGGCTGACACTCGGCTGACACTCGGCCAGGCTCACGCTAGGTCTCGCTTGACACCTCGGAAAATTACTTGCATTTAAGGCCCGATCTACAATAGATGGAGTAAGAAGTAGGAGTAAGACAAAATGGAAATAATTTATTTCGCTTACTCCCTTACTCCAATAAAAGTTTGTCCGTCTACATCACATGGAGTAAGCCTGAATTAAGTAGTAAGGACTGGAGTAAGGAGCTGGAGTGAGGGAGTAAGCGAAATAAATTATTTTCATTTTGTCTTACTCCTACTTCTTACTCCATCTATTGTAAATCGGGCCTTATTGCGTTATTTTTCAGTTTCTCCGTGAAGTATGTATATTATTGTGATCCTCACAGCCGTAAAATGTAGAGCAAACTCAGTGATACTGGTGATACATTGTGAAAATTGAGAAATTGTGTTCATACAGGCTGGTATCTCAGCTGTCAAACCACCGTGACAGTCGAAAAATGTAGTATTATTTCAGGAATTATTTCATGATACTACGTGATATATCAGCCATATATCTAAGTTTGCTGTACTTTTTACAAGTTTCAGAATTAGGAAAATATTTGGTTCTTCAGGGAAAAGTAAAAAAATAAAGCAATAAGATGCAAGGGAATTTCGGTATGTCATTTCTCGCTTCTGACGTCATCAAACCAATATGGCCGCTCCAGAGATAGCAGAGCCTTAATTGAGAAAAATTAGAAATTGATTGTAATGTAATTTTACGCGTTTAAAGTGGAATAAGTATATGTTTGTTCTTTGAGAAAAATAAGATGAAATCTTATTTGTCATTTTAGGAAGTATAATTAAGAATTATAATAAATAGTACAATCTATAAGAGACTCACCGAATGAAAGAACGCCAACTATCCAAGAAGCCCTTCTCGAGGATGTAAAATAGTTTCGCTAAATCGTCGCACTTGGATATTTCATTTCTATTCTTTCCATAATACAAATCGGTGAGCTCGTCCTTCTGCTGTTTCGCCTTGATCTTGTCGTCCTTCTTCGCTCTTTGTGCGTTTTCCATTCTCTCCTTAAAAGAAAATAATGGCGAATGTAGAATCGAGAGACGTGTTCGAAAAAATATTCCGATAACTTGTTTTGCAAGAAAACGATTTACGAAACTTACTTCGCAGATTGTACAAGACGTAGATTCGATAGGATACTCTTTCGAGTCCGGGAAATATTTCCGAAGAATCGACCATGCCTCTTGAGGTATCACTTTTCTACTGGAGTCTGCCGTTTTGAGAGAATTATGCTCGCAAAGTAAATCTTCGTTAAAGTTGATTATAATCTCGTTTTCCTCGTTTTCTTCGATCTCCTTTGAACAGTCACTTATGTTTTTGTTCTCCTCCTGCGGAATATCTTGACAATCGTTCATCTCTTGCTCCATACCCTCTAGGAACGTTTCCATGGCTAATTTTCGCCACGATCGTAAAGAATCGGTGCCAATTATGTAGCTTGTCTCAGAACTAAGACAATAGAAATGTCATATTATCATTATTTTTCTTTCTATTATAGAAAGATATCAAAGAGGAATACTTACGGTTCTTTAAACGTGCGAATTAGCTCACTGACTTCCTTGTGATCGCGCTCCAAAGATAATTTAAAACGCAACAGTTTACAACGTCTTTTCACGCAAGTCTCGCACAAAGATGTTTGATCTAATCGTGGACCTCCCCGATACCTTTCGTAAAGCACTTCGGCCGCTGCCACCGGCACGCATTTTGCGCGACTAACTTTTAATGGGTCGAGTCGGTGATGCGAGCACATTAAGGTTGAATTATCAATCGGAGGGATACCGTCCACAGTAGAATATGCGTTTAACCATTTCGATAGCCAATCGGTCGGTATCCAATAGTATTCATCCCAAGATACTGTCGATGCGATAATGTTATATACATCTATGACAAGTTGTCGCTTGAAATTGTGATCTTCAATTTCTTTTTGCTGAAACACAAAACAGTAAATAATATAGCAATATACGCAAAAAGATTGTAAACATAATAATAATGTTTCTTTTAGACGAATAGAAAATATTTTCTTACCTTTTCTTGTTGGGCAGCTAATAAACTCAATTCATGTTTAATATTTTCTTGTCTGACGAGTTCGCGCATTGTGTTACTCACTTTCCAACTCTCGAACTCCATCTGTGGAGAAATAAATCAATGTATTTAATCGATTGTATTTTTTAATATGTATTCAGCATACATCTATAATAAATTAATGGTACCTCTTCATAAAAGTCTCGTTCACCGCAACTCATAGCTCTGTGCGCAGCACCATTCAGTCGTTTGTAATCAAGTTTGACAATTTTTACTATTGGTTTCTTTGGATGTTGAATTTTATTCAGCAACTGTTGCGCAACTGGTTCATGTTTGTCTTTACACTCAGCATTTACACAAACTGTAGGAACAGCAGTTTCTATGGTTTCATTCTTCACATTAGTTGGCACATCATTGTTTTGAGATGCCACAGATTCATCCACTTTTATTTTATTTTCTAAATCTAGTTTGGGTATTATTGGAGAATTTTCTTCTTCCGTTGGCGACATATCCCCAACACCATTTTTCCGTTGTGCTTCATCCGGTATATCCGATTTGTCTTTAACAGTAAGACTTTCCAAGTTAACAGGGTTGCCGGGGATGCTCGCTTCTGCGTCAGGTTTCTTCAACTTCATTTTCTTTGTAGCACTTACTGGCCAATCTGTAGTTAATTTTTTATAAACCAACATATACGCTGTATTCGACGAAAGGAATCCTTTCGGGACGCGACCTCGTTTCATCGGTTTCACGTTATCTATAAAAAAAGAGAAAAAAATCCGACTTCTGTCATGCTTCAACCTTTCATTTTTCATCTTTTTTTTTGTTTTTTAATTTAAGCACAAAACACGTAATTACCATTTACTCCATCTTCGATCCGTTTATTGTGCATCTTTTCCACTTTGTCGTCACTAAACTGGTACCATTCACCACTCGAATTACATATATTCGCGATGTAATGTCCAGAGTGAGCAGATGGACCTTTATGACTTAATACTGCAACAAGACTGTACAAGTGAGTTTGCGGCTGAGACCTGATGTATTCTGACATATCGAGATCCTCGGGAAACTGGATATACGAATTCAACTTTTTCTTCTGCCCGGAATCCCTGTCACAGTGAATTGTGCCGTTAGTTAAAGTGGATAAAAGATTCTCGCAAAACTTATGAATGTCCTAAACTTACCTATGAAATACGAAACGCATCAGTTGGATGTTTAGAGTATCCGGCAGAGTTTCTAATCGTATGAATCGCCTGGCATCCTGTTTGTCATTGCAAGTGGTACAGTGATATTGATTTGCGCCCGTCAGCTGCTCTTCGGACAAATACTTGTCTATCGCCTCCTTCAAAGTGGCCGCCAATTGCAGATCCAATTCGTAGAATGTGGTAGACGTCGGATACTCGGTACCGCACGTAGAACAACTGCATCAAACGCAGAAAAATCGTAATTACCCACTAAAAAGTCGTCGCTCCCTGTCAGATCGGTTGATCGCACCAGTCACCCTAGCGAGCAACGTGTCCTACCATGTTCTCATCGTCATGATTCATCAGCATCATCATCGTTTAGGACAATTCTCATTTGTTTTCCACTTCAGAAAACCCACCAATTGATATAGCTGTATTTTCCCTGGGTCAGCCTCTGCAGCATCTGCTTCAGCTCTGAGTGCAGCTTTCCTTCTATATGGCACAGTAGCAGCTTGGAGAACTCCTGAGCGTCCTGCTGCGTTCTGGTATCCAGAGATAACGCGACAGCGAGATTCATCGGATCAAGAAGACTCCGATTTCCAAATTGCATCATTGCGAAAATGTATTGCAATTGGCCGACTGCAGTTACTGGATGATACGGTTGTCCTGCCTTCTTAGTCTGGTACGATGTATCCCTTTCTTCTGGATCTTCCGTGATATCCCATTTGTATATTATTCTCCTGTTGCCAATAGATTTATTTACACATAAGATACAGTACCATGAAACTCAATCTTTTAATCCAACATACACTGGCATACCTCATGTCTTCATTATGGAACCACATTTGAATTAAACTATTAACGTAGCAAGTAGCACCCAGATTTTTCAATCCGACATATTGGGTTGGATCACGAAGTTCAGATAGAGAGCTTTCTAAAGGCACTACCTCAGTGGGTTGTGACTTCATATATTTTTCTTCTCCTAAACCCGTCAGACATTGGGGATTATTAGTACAGTTCCGTCTGAAATAGCGATAACATGTATCATTCAGAGAGTATGTACTTATAAAACAATTATAGTAATTAGATAAATAATATACCAAGTTCTCTTTACATCAAAATTGGTTATGACTTACTTGCAATTCTTACAACTTTTTAATCCAATCCTATATGCAGTCTCTAAATGTATTTTTTCAATCTGTTCTGGAGTAATGACTTCTATCCATGCCCATGCTAACTTATCTAAATCAGCCTTTTTTGTTGGTGCCATATCTATAACATAAACTGTATAATTTTGATATTATTAAGAATTATTAAGTTGAATATTACATTTAATTAAATAATTATGCAAATATAATTTATATTCATAAAATGACACAACATTTCATAAATATGACAAACATAAATTGTAACTATCAGTAACAGAATATATGAACGCATGAATGTGTTAAATGAATTTTGTACAAAGCTATATAATTTTACAAGTGAGAAAAATTTTATAATCAAATTGTAGATGCATTAGGTTGTTACAAATAGCTAACTTTTATATTTTTAAAAGCGTATAAACCAGCTATCTTAATTGTCTTTATAAAAGAACCTAACCTAACTTAATCGAAATATATAAGAATTGCAATTTATGGCACAGTTATAATTCTCGAAAAATACTCGTTCTTATTAAAAGATTTGCAGTCAGAATAACGTGCATATGTTCGACGATACTGTTGTAACTTTTCGCGCCATAACAAAATCGTGCCATTTTGCAAAAATAGGAATAAAAAGACGGAGGAGAGTGGAAAAATTGATTTTTCGATAATGCGAAGTACAACGTAGTCATGATATCGAACAAATATTCGAGAAAAAATGAAGCAATAAATAACTTAAAATGACATACGAAACGGTGAGTGCATATACCTGCCTACAACAGACTGTTCTCTGCACGATTTGAGAGGTTATGGTACAACACTGCTAGTAGATTCACGGCATTACCCTGTAATTGATCGGTATTACACGGCATGCAGCACAAAATATCGTTTTCACAAATGCACTGAATATCCGCAATCGTCGCTAGACGCTACAAAAATACACGAGAAACGGTCACCGAAAACAGGGACACTCTTTCAACTACCCGTCGCCATATGCAATCGGCGCGTATCGTAGCGCGCGTCAAATCAATCGCAAAATTGTACAGAGATGAATCATAAAAGAAATTGTTAAAAACTCCGCGATGCAGCAACATTTCGCAAAAACAAATGAGAAGTATATACGCTCAAAATATTCCTGCTCTTACAAAATCATATTTTTCTATAATCCGTCACTATGTATACAAGATATCTTATGTGTAGATACGTATATATACATAACGTACATACATACTGATGTGTAAGTAGCATATGTATTCACACATTTGCGGTAAATAAGTGAGGCAGTATAGTCACACTGGGCGAAGTGATAAACCATCTTGTGCCAAAAGTTTATAACACGATTTGATAGCTGACTTTTGTAAAATGTCCAACACATTTTTATATTTCGCTTACGGAAGTAATTTACTCGCTAAAAGAATACGGCTAAACAATCCAACTGCAGTAATGAGAGATATTGGTTATATAAAGGTAATCAGGAAAAGATAAGAATATGATTGTTTAGTTGTCCTATATCTATACTTATACGTATACTATAATGTTATATGTACGTGCAATTATTGATAATACATCATTCTGTTTTATCGCGTTTATAAATTTTATACTTTATGTCTTGTCTAGCTAAAAATACTTAGAGAGAGAGAGAAATAGTGTCTAAATGTTTTTACATAGTATTTTTTATTTGACAACAATGTGCTCTGCAAGTGTGAATATACCTTAACAAAAATAATTTGCAGAATACATATATATAATATCCTAGCCTTTGTGAAAGATGAGATAAGAGAATAATCATAAAGATAAAACCATATCTTATTTTCAAGGAATCTGAGAAATGTATGAATACAATTCACATATCTGTTCTCAAAACTATATAAAAAATTAATAATACAAAGAAAATTACAAAAGAATAGATTTTCTCTAATCTTCAAAGATGGAAAATCCTAATATCACTTAGTTCCATATTATATTTATAATATATTACTTTTCATACGTATATACATACACATACACTCATATATATGTTAAATGTTTTTATCAGAATTTCAGGTTAGATTTTCAAAGATATTCTAAACGATGGCATGGAGCATCTGCAACAATTGTGGAAACAAATGACACAATTGTGTGGGGTGTGGTTTGGGAATTAGACAAGTGTAACTTATCTACATTAGATTGTCAAGAAGGTGTTCAAGACAACATATATCATGCAATGTCAGTGAATGTTGAAACTCCTAATGGTACAACTTTAAATTGTAGAGTGTATCAACAATGTCATAATCCAACAGAATATATAATACCAGTAGACCTTCCAGTAGATAGAAGACCTTCACCATTATATCTGTATGTATCTGCACATAAATGTATTGTTTACATAAATAATGTAAACAATAAATACAAAATAATGTAACTAAGCCATAAATTCTTATCAAAACTTTTATATTGATTATAGAGAAATGATAATAAAAGGAGCCCAAGACAACAATCTTCCTAATTATTATATATCATTTTTAAAATCTATACCAGACAATGAATATAAAGGAGAATATGATATTAGGTGAGCAGCAAATTTAATAGTTGAAATGGGATTTACACTTTGTTTATATATTGTTTATAATTGTAATTAGTGAATATAATATAAACTTCATCAATATCTTATTAGCAAAAGTATTATAACACAATATCTTCCATTTGTTTTTCTATGGTTATATACAACGTCGCATCACAGCCTTTCTCTGATTGAAGACTGACTTCTACAATTTTCTTATTGTGCGAATATTTTTGATAATATGGATCAAGAATCACATGCTCTAATGCCGCTTCTGCTGTGATTTCGTCTAACATACGTCGTGGAAGCTTCATTTTAAAAAACTGTCGTTTGTTGACCTAAATATGTTACATTGTAAATATAATAAGTTGGTGTTGGTAATTAAGAATAGAAATAATAATTTTATGTAAAAAAACTAATATAAAAAAGTCGATATGTTAAGAGCTAATGTAAAAGGAACTTTACACACGAAAATTAAATAGAAAATAGAAGTAATATAATTTTACATGTAAATATTTATTAATAATATTCTTACTTAAAATGTAAATATACAAAAATACTTACGAAAACATATAATGTTAGTTTATAATCCATGTCGATCTCTGGCCATTTCTGTTCCAATATATCCTTATTCAAATTTACTTCTTTACTATCTATAAGATGGTGCTTTGCAGAACAAAAAGCAGTCCATAATTCAGAGGCAAAGTGTGGCGCAAAAGGTGCAAGTATTAAGATTTGAACTGCTAACGCCCGTTCGTATTCACGACTTTTTCTCAAACATTCTATATTAACTTTTCGCAAACTGTAATTTTATAGGTTCAATATATGTTCAGATATTTTAAATATTACAAATATATATAATTATGTATCATCTTTTTACCTATTTGTAAGACCTTGCATTCTGGATATCGCCACACTGAGCTGCTGCGTATCTATTATGTTACGCGTGACAGCCTTCAGAAAATAATTTCGGCTGTCGAATAAGTATGTTTCGTGTTCAGCAAACTCAGGGTGAGTAGGTGCAGCTTGAAACTCCTCCAGAGACATATTATCACGTTCATGTTTGAATTGTCTTACAGTAATCCAAATACGATTTTGCCAATTCTGTATGCCAGGAACAGCTGCAATTTTATATGTACATATGAATATATGCATATTGTGGCAAACCATCATTTAAACTATAGTTTAATTCTTAAGAAAAATTAATAAGTTAATCCTTACTGTCTTCTGACCAATTTCTAGTAGACGTCGGTGCAACATCGCCCAATATTAACAATCTAGTCGTATCTATCCCATATTTGTTCAACAGATTAAGAGGATCAATACCATTGTGTTTTGACTTTGACATCTTCTCCCAGCTTACAGAGACAGTTTCTCCCGATAAAGTTTTGTATTCATTTTTATTTATAGTCACTTCGTTTGCATTTATGTATTTGCCGCTGTTTTTAGTTTTATATGTTTGACCCATTATCATTCCTTGCACAAGGAGTTGTTTGAATGGTTCTCGATTTGGTACGAGACCTTCCGAATGCAAGAAATGACTCATAAATCGAGCGTAATATAAATGGAGCACGGCTGAAAGATATATTCAACATTTAAACATTCAAATATTATAACATTTAAATATAATTTTTTCAAAACACGTACATCATTATTCAATATAATTTTTTCAAGACACGTACATCAATATTAAGATAACGTTATGTTCGTACCATGCTCTTTTCCACCTATGTAAAGATCCACAGGGAAAGTTTCCTTGACTTTTTCCACTGAAAATATCTCTTTCGTATTATCAGGGTCTATGAAGCGCAGAAAGTACCAGCTGCTATCTACGAACGTGTCCATGGTATCAGTTTCTCTTCTTGCATGATTTGTGCACTTGGGACATTTTGTCTTCGACCACTGTTGTATTTCTTTGGCTAATAAAGTTTTATTCGATATATGCTTTATAAACGGTAACGTCACAGGAAGTTGATCTCGAGGTACTGGCTGAATCCCGCATTTTGCACAATGAATCATAGGTATAGGTGTACCCCAATACCTCTGTCTCGAAATTAACCAGTCCTGCAATTTTGAGCTTACTGAATATCCACCTATCTTCCATTCTCTGGCCTTCTGCAATATTTCAGATAATTTCTGTTGCTGTTGCTCGTAACTACGTATCGTATGCCGAGTGAACGGTATCCCAACTAGCTCCGAAAATTCTAAATCTTTCATGGACGCGGAAGGTATACCCAAACGGTTGTCTCTCCACAGTGGATAAACAATCTTATCGGTGACGAAGATTGGTAGTTCTTCATTAGAAAATGGATTCAATATTTTCGCATTTAAACATTTAATGCCGGTGTCTATATCGTGTGTATAATCTTCACGATGTAATACACTTTGAGAAGATATAGCAACAAACTTAGCATACTCAATAAATTCTGGCATGTCAGTCCATAAAGTCATTGTTTTTGGAAAATCTGGAATATCAGATATTAACTTAAAATCGATATTAATACCGTTGCAGTCGCCTATCCAATGCTTCTGCAGCTTTATAACATCTCTCCATCCTTTCAAGTCCGGATCACTCAAACCTTCCATCAATGATCTACAAGCATGGCTAATTAATCAACTGATGCGGAATTAATTAATCATACAAGACACCATATTATGTTTGCCCTTACTTCGCAAAAGCTGTTGTTCTAATAAACCATTGCTTCAACATCTTCTTTTCTACAAGTGCACCAGATCTCCAAGACCGCTTATTCAAGTCTACTTGTTCCTCAGCCAATACAGTATTATCAATAGGATCCCAATTAACATAAGCTTCCTTTTGATATACTAAATCTCTATCATATAATTTTAAAAACAGTTCCTGTGTCCATCTGTAATAATCTGGGTCACAAGTTGCAAATTCTTTCTCCCAATCAAAAGAATAATTTAACATTGTCAGTTGATTACGCATTGTTTGTATATTGTCTTTTGTCCATACAACAGGATCAACTTGATGTTCAATAGCAGCATTCTCTGCTGGTAATCCAAAAGCATCCCAACCCATGGGATGAATTACATTTTTACCTAGATAAGATTTCTTATATTATTTATTTATATATAATTATTTTTTGCATGTTATATTGTAAAGTTTTGATATATAAATTCTATATAATAAACATTATAATATCTACCTTTCATTCTATAAAATCTGGCTATTGTATCACTTATTGTGTAAACCCTCACATGACCTATGTGCAAAGCACCCGAAGGATACGGAAACATAGATAGAATATAAAATTTATCTTTTGCTTTGTTATCAGTATTGAATTTGTAGGAATTTATTTTATCCTTCCAGTGATTCTCTATTTGATGTTTTACTTTGGTTGAGCAATCTATTACCTAAAAGAAGAATTTTTATAAGATAAATAATACAATAATATTTGGTGTAAGATATAACAATTTAAAAATTTTTAATAATAATCTTACATCTCTATATCCCCAAATACAATTTTAATTTTCTATATAATGAAATGATTAGGAAACACAAAATTGGATATATGTCGAGTATACACAAAATAAAGTCAAAACTATTACGTCGTATAAACGAAATTTTACATATTTAAACATATTGCAAAATTAATATAGTTTAAATAAAAAAAACTCATACTTCCGATATATTCACTGCAGACGACGATAGTAGCCGATAAGGAATATTATTAGGAAATCTTCGTGTTTTATATCGCGACAACACATTAAGGAAACATGATACATTTTGCACCATTGTTAAACTTTATTTATTATTTTCGCATAAACAAAATAAATATAAAAGGAAACAATTTTATTTCATATATTACATATATGCATGCCAGCCTTTCTCTATATTATTATACCATGTAGGCTGCCATTTTCTGAACTACTCTAGGCAAAACATGCTTGTTAACGGATCGCAAATTATATTTATTTTGTTACTCCGAAACATCTTTTACAATTAATAATAATATACTCCTACATATATGTATATATCCCGCTGTCGTATAAACGTATATTCAAAATAACTCCCTATTAGCGAATTTGGTTGCTTGTACTATTGTGCACTGAGTGCTATTAAGGCTTGTTTATAGTCTGTTCTTATATTTAAGATCATCTTAAATATGTCTTCAAATATTTTTTAGTTAGTAAAATAACCTATACAGCATCCATACGGATTGTTTTGTTGACTGGGAAATTTTTAAAAATATATTTAAGACGATTTTAAAGATAAAAATGTAATATGAAGAAGCCTTAATGAGTACTCAGTGCACACTAGTGCAAGCGGCCGAATTTGCGATATCTGAAAGGCATTTCATACGAAAGCGCCGTTTCCGGTTTGCTACGTTATTTTCCGCTTTGCTCCACACTAAAGTTGGTGAGTGTTTTTCGAAGATTCATATCAATATAAGTTTTTACCATCGTGTGCTTATAGGACATGTAACAATAAAAAGAAATACAAATTTTTATACCTTTGATTAATTTCGACTGATATTTATGTGATTTATGTAATAAAATCATTTTTGTATTTAGTTTGCATCATTAAAGAGGTTATCCAGATTTGTTCTTGTTATTTTGTAAGTTTCGTTATATATTTTCAAATATGTTTTTGTTATCATGAAAACATAACGAAACTCGATATATCCATCAATTCTTCAACAAATATTATCTATACATTTTATTTATGCACATGTGCATTGTAAGTTATCATACTAAAGATTATTGACTTCTTGTCTTATAACAGAATACAGTTGTAAATATCATAGATATTTTTACAAAATTATTTAATATCTAGTCATATATAAATAGATATAAATAGATAATATTCTGACAAATGTCTTTGAATCTGTGATAATTTATTATGTAAAATACAAGTATGCATTTACTATAAACATATGTTATTGTGTCTCTTGATGTCAACTGTTAATATTTATAGATATTAAGTATCAACCATGGGGAAGCGCAATAATATGATCCCAAATGGACACTTTCATAAGGATTGGCAACGATTCGTTAAAACTTGGTTCAATCAACCAGCTAGGAAAATACGACGCAAGCAAACTCGTATTAAAAAGGCAAGAGCTCTTGCTCCCAGGTATATTTGGAATAATTTTAATATGTTTATAGTTTATTTCTTTTTTTCATTAGATCTATTTTAAATATAAATTTAACTCAAATAGTTACAATGTATATATTTAAAACACTACATGTGTGTTGCACATATAATATCTCTATATCTTTAATTAAATATTGTTAAATATTTTTAGACCAGTAGGTCTTCTAAGACCTGTAGTACATTGCCCGACATTTCGCTATCACACTAAAGTTCGTGCTGGTAGAGGATTCACACTGGCTGAGCTAAAAGCTAGTGGTTTAAATAAGAGATTCGCTCGAACGATCGGTATTGCGGTCGATCCACGTCGTCGTAATAAATCTATTGAGTCGTTGCAGACAAATGCACAACGGTTAAAAGAGTATAAAGCCAAGCTGATACTCTTCCCAACAAATGAAAAGAAGGTATGATGATACTATCAAAAAAACTTTTGTACAATACATTTGTACTGTATACAGAATAGTGTGGTACAGTTTGGCATAACTTCTATTTTTTTTTTATGGAAGATAAATATACTTTTGTATAGATTATTAAATTACCATTGTTTTTATTTTAGCCACAAAAAGGTGATGCGACTGAGGAAGAAATGAAGTTAGCTACTCAAGTAAAAGGAGACCCAATGCCAATACGACATCAAGCACCTGCTAAAGCTCGGGCACGATCTGTAACAGAAGACGAAGCCAAATTCTCTGCATATGTCACCCTTCGCAAAGCAAGAGCAGATGCACGTCTGGTAGGCGTTCGAGCAAAGCGGGTTAAGGATGCTGCGGACAATCCTGACGATTTAACCAAGGTTGCAAAGGACAAAAAGGCTAAGAAATAATTTTATAGCTTTTTTCCTAAGCAAATAAAAAAATTTGTCCAGTAACGGATAAATAGCTGTATAATTCTTTCTCTCTCTCTCTTAGAGATTAGCTCTGCCGGAGCTTTTCATACTCGTGATACCTGGCTGTAGTTGTTTACATATTTTTGTGAATCTGCTCGTAATGGTGTTCATAACTGATTTGCAGCATTACGCGTAAAAACATCTAATGATCCTTTATTTACCTGCAAAATATGATTCATTTAATACGCGTTCCTTTTTTTCGCATAATAACGAGTCTAATTATGCAAATTTTCTGGATAGACCCTTATGCAGGATTTACGCCGCGTCCGATGTCCGACATACGACGTCCGATATCCAAGAATAGCTTTCCAATGGAGAATTGAATTCTATATTAGAAAGCTGTTCTCCTATTGGATATCGAACGTCGTATGTCGGATATCGGACGCGATGCAAATCCTGCATAATATTACATGTATCGTACGATAAATATTGTCGGGCATATCGATTAGCTGATGAGTAGAATTTCCTAAAGTCCCTAACTTCTTTTTAGGTACCCCAAAAATTTTCTATACAACAGCCAATTAGAACGTCCGACAAGCTTGTCGCACAATGGGAGCGTCCCGATTGACTACAACCAACGATTGGACACAACCAACCGATGAAAAGAATTATCTAGTGAATTACCAGGTCGAACCAATCATTACAATCTATGTCCAATTGTATCGTGGTAATCGGGTCCCATCCGACCAATCACAGTCAATTATTCTCCTTAAATTTGATTGTGATTAGCCAATTTTTTAAAGCCTAGGGCTTAAATCACCTATTGTAGATCGGGACTTAAGAAATTGTCCAACTACAGTTGATTATTTTTAAAATAATCGACTGTGGTTGGTCAATTTATTACGGCTTAAAGATTAAAGCAAGATTGTGGATAAGGGGTAATGGTTCCTGCACACAGGACGCGGTAATGTTTGTCGCGCGGCGGAAGTCCGCGCGACAGCTAATCAATATGTTGTTTTTCCGTAAGAGCTAGAAGGTTATTACGGAAAGCAGCATATTGATTGGCTGTCGCGCGAACTTCCGCCGCGCGGCAAGCATTACCGCGTCCTGTGTGCAGGAGCCATAAGAGCACGTAAACCAGGTCCATGTCGATGATCGGGTAGGCAGAATACCTAGATCCAGTACACTTTTGTACACCCTTTACTCTTCAATAAAAAAAAAATAAGGCCGTAGTATAATTTAATAATAGTCAAACGTATTTTATAACATGTTCGATTGGCTCTGGGTTAACTCACTCTGGGTTATTCAGCCTACATTTATCGAACAAGTACTTATAATCTTTATGATTGGCTAGTAGAGATTTATGACGTCATTAATAACTCTCAGAGTGATTAACCCAGGGCCAGTCGAACACGCTATTAGTTTCGCTAATACTCGTTTCTACCAACTTTAGTTAATTTAACTTGTTAATTATTTTAACGAAATTGACCAATCACATCTGTCAATTCTAATTAACGAGAAATGTGATTGGTTAATTCCGTTGGAATAATCAGCCGATTAAATTAACCACAGTTGGTAAAAATAGGCATAAGTAGTGTTACTCGACGGCGGATTAAACGTCTTTTTGTTTAAAAAATACCCCTTTTGCATGAAAAATAGATAAAATTTAATGAACTATAACTTTGGTAAAAATAGTATTATCGAGATGATTCGGGAAACATTGTGTAAATTGAAATTTATAATTTTATAATATAAATAATACTCAGACAGCACCTCTTGTGGATGTCCTGAAGACGTCCTGACATCAGGACATTCCTTGGAAAGTCTATGGCCTATATTCTGAATCCTCTTTTATTTATAAAAGTATCCCTAAAAGAGGTTTACCCAGTGAGAAATGACTTATTGATCGACGTCGAAATCGTCAAATAGAGGTCGATTCGACGTCGATCGATAAGTCATTTCTCACTGGGTAGAAGCCACTTGATTAGCTGAAAAATTATATTTAAAGCATTTTTATCGATAAAAGAGGATTCAGAATATAGGCCAATGTTGCTAGGTAAATATCACAATTTTGCTATCATTTTTTGTTAGAATATAAGTTAAATGGAAAATAGTGATTGCTTAATCTTTTTTCTTATTTAAATTGCTTAACTTTCTTTTTTATTTAAGTTTTTACATCAAACAATTACTTTCATCAAAAATTCAATAAATGCATTTTAAAGGAGAAAATTTATGTTTTCTATTTATTCTATCGTACAAGGATTCGTTTACTTTCTGTAATTAATTAAAGCTAAAATAGTATTTGTGACTCAATGTTCGATAATTTGTAAAAAGAAATTACGCAACAATCTAAACATACGCAAATTAAAGCGACAAATACGTACTTAAAATATTTTCTAATAGTATAAGCCTTATTATTTATCAACGATTTTGTATTCCTGTAGTATAACACAAAAAACTTTATCAATTTTTAACATTTAACGGATCCTGATTCATATACTTATAACGTTATAAAAATAATTAAACTTTATACAGAACAAAATATCTAAAAATTAAAGATTTTGAACTATATGTTTTTCTAAATTATGCCATTATTATTACTTTTACACAAGTTATAGCTCCTTGAATATAAATTGCTAATTATTTATGATAGGGAGAAATAATTCTTTAATTTTTATGGGATATTTGTATGATAAAAATGTGCTTAACAAATTATCTGTTCGTTTATGATAAATTATTACATTGACTATATTATAATTGCACATATACAAAAATATGCTTTTTATGTACTGATTACACTTTCGATAGCGTCTGCACAAGATGTCGGCTGCGTCTGTGATATCTCCACTGACTCGTAGCTGTCATTTTACTAATTATATATTGCAGGTTAGAGAACGAATAATTTAAACCTATTAGTGAATAGCAAATGTTAAATTTGTTATTGTGGGAAGAGCTCTGTGGTGACAATTGGATATAATTTGGTATATAAAACGTGATATAAGCATCGTGTGAAGCTAGATTTTATCAGGTTATATGTACGAAGTTTGTAGTAGCATCGTACAGAGATAAGAGATAAACCATGTCTTTCAACGAAAGCTGACTTTACGATACAAAAAACTGAGCTCGAAATATTGTAACGTGATGGAGTTAAAGGTGTGGGTGGAAGGAATACAACGTATCGTATGCGGCGTTAGAGAAGACTCTACCTGTCAGGTACATATTATTAATTAAATAATATGATTGCATTGTTACTTGTTTATATGTTTATGCAACACGCAAGAATGAGAATTGAGTGTGTAATTGATAATATGTACTGTTGAATACTATATTGTATTTAAAAAAAACTGTAATTATTAATTTATTTCATTCTAATTTTTCAATGCCTTATATCTATTTCACCTAAGATATATTCAAATATTGTTATATATATTTTACAGCAATATATTCTTATTGTATACAATTCCTTTATTTTTTATTACTTAAGGCTATTCAAATCTACTTTCAAAAGCTGTTGCTATAATAACTGTCTTATTGCAGGATGTAGTATTAGCAATTGCTAATGCTACAGCCCAAACTGGTAGATTTATTTTGGTGGAACGTTGGAGAAGCAATGAACGTTTGCTAGCCCCTTATGAGAAACCTCTTAAGGTCAGATATATTTTATATCTTACATATGTGAAATTGTTTTACGATATTAATCAAGTATATTTATTAAATATTAAAATACAGATACGAATACATATACAAATACAGATACGAATACATATACAAATACAGATATACACACACACACACACACACACACACACACACACACATATATATATATATATATATATATATATATATATATAAGAAATATAACATAATTGATAATATACTGTTTATTCGATTAGATTTTGATGAAATGGGGTGAATATTCCTCTGAAGTACAACTAATCCTGAAAAAATCAGAAAATAATAAATCAAGTGCTCTACCACCTCGCTTGACATATGTACCACGTGCGAATGGATTACCAGTTTCATTATCTGAACATGGAACAAGCTCTACTGGTACCCAAGATGATACCAAAAATATATCAATCTCACAAAGTTCAGATTTTGATGATATGCAAGGAGGATTGGAAAGGAATAGAGATACCAGGAAATCGCTTACATTTAGTGGTTTTCACGGAGGCATTACAGAAGGTAGTAGTGAGGTGAGTTTTTAGTTAATATTATATGCTGTGTTTCTCCTTTATTTCAAGTACATATAAGTATTATTTTAGATTCAAATGGAAAATGTGGCTGTGGTTCAACCCACCCTACATTTGAAAAGTAAGGACTTGAATATTCGGAAAAATATACAAAAACCTGCTCAATCACCTACACGAGGAAGTAGTACTGAAAGTGAGTTATTCATTTTACTATAATTTTTGTTATGTAAGCATTTTATTAGTGTTTAAATATACTGATATAATTTCTTATTATCTTTGATATTAACTGATTTTTAATGAAAATTATGCTGTATTAATTATGATTTTTTTTTCTTTAGTTGTCACACATTCGTCTCAGAAAAAGGTGCGCGAAGTTCCGCCTTACAGAGAACCTCCAGGTCCAGCTTCACCACCATTGCGAACTTTACCACCTTATCGAGATCCACCGCCGCCGAATTTAAACAGTCCTGGAAGATCACAATTTGTGCCTAGTACCAATAGTGGAAGTCCTCATGTTCACAAAGATGACCAACCATCTTCTAGTTCCATGAAGTTGAAAAGGAATCTTATTCAGGTTTTATTCATTATAAATACGTTTATTTAATTATATAACAACTCGCATGAATTTATATCATATTTGTAACATATCTTTTATAGGAATTCCAAGACACAAAAGTACCAACACAATCTGTTAATCCACTGCCTGCCACAGCACAAAATATGTCAACTGTTGCTTACACTCAGCGATACGTTGAACTTATAAGACTAGTCAATAAGCAACGAGACACTATTAATGCTCAGCAAGCTGATATATCAAAGGTGAAATATTTATCTTATTAAAAGCATGAATTATATATTGTTCTAAAATATTTATACTACTTTATTTCCAAAAATGTCTTTGAATATATATACATATTTAAGAATTAAATTGCTAATATATCTTTTACACATACATGTTTATTTTTATTAGTTTGATGCAGAAATATCATACTGGGAATCAAAAAATAGGGAACAAATACATCAAATGGATTATATTTCTCAAGAAGTCAGTCGAATTGAATCTAGCGGCCGTATTATTGAAGAGCAGGTACAATATTTATTTCTTTAATATCTGTTACTAATATTTATTATCTATGTTTTTTTGTGGTTGCTGTATGTAATATTTATTTTTTTTTATTGCAACTAGCTTAAAGAATTAGCTCATGTGGAAGAAGAGAGCGAAATAGTTAGGCAGCAAGAAAAAACATTAAAGTCTGAAATAACATTGCTCAGATCAAAGTTAGCCAATTGCGAAACGGAACTACTTCAATGTAAAAATAAGATCAGGTAAAAATAAATTATCACAATGGATTCTCTAAGTACACAATCTCGGAAATCTTTACAATATAGTAACTACAATTATAGGCTAGTTATGGAGGAGCTTGCAATGGAACAGCATAATATAAGCCGAGAAACGGATGAGCGGCAAATTATGGAACGGAAAATGATCAGTGAAGTGGAACACTTGCAAAATGAAGTTGAGCAAGCTAAACGTGCAACTGAGTTAGCTTCACAGTGTGCGGAATCATTAAAATTAGAAGTAGTTAATTTGGAATCAGCTATTGTGGAAAAAAAATTACAAGTTGAAAGATTGGTAGCTGATATGAAGGAGGCAAACTTACAAAGTTTGGCCGTTGCATGTTCAGATGAACAAGTCAAATCTTTATTAGAGGGTATTTATCTTTATGTATATAGATTTTTTTTATAAGTTATAGATTTTGTATAATTAACTCTATATATAATTGTTTAATTGTTAGGGGCTCATAAGCCTGGAAGTACCCGTAAGATGATAGGATCACCGAGACAATTGGAAACTGCAGTACCCACAAGCAAGAATCCACATGGTGTGTGGGTGTAAACAGACAACACAATATATCTGCTAAAATGCTCTCTTAAGAATGTAAGAAATATCAAAGAATCTTACACATATGGAAATATATCTATGTTTATATAGTTTTATAGCAAGTACTTAAACTGACTTCTTCATGTTTTTACGCATTTACTACAACAAAATTAATTTATATTATTATTATACATATCACATCGATAACATTTTTAATTTAATTATACTATAATGTGTATATGGTCTCATTTTTAGTTACAAAGTATTTAATTAAGATTTTTGATCAGCTTTATGAATTGTTATATGATATTTGAGACTTGAGATGTAGAGAAAATTAGTAATTATTAATTGTTATACACACACACACACACACAAACGATTATATGTTTTTAAAAGTATTTAATATATTGTGCAAGGAATTCAATTGCATGCTAATTTATTAAAAAAAAATTATCTTAATTTTCAAATATCACATGTATTTGGCAAATAATGTTATCTTTTCATGTACAAGGTAGTATTTTAGATATTTAGGCACTAATTATAGTTTAGTTTGTGTAAAGAGTAATTGATCTTAAAAACCAAGAATAATAATATCAAAATTACATTTACTAGTATATATTACCAATAGCTATTTTTATATTAGCTATGACTTCAAGACTCAAGAGATATTTTGCCATAATAGATTTAATTATACAGTTATAATGTACTTAGGTTAGATTATAATTATAAATATTAACACATGTTAGTAATAATGTTGATCTATGTTTAATAATAGAATCATTGCATGATATTTTCATTACATTTCAAATATATTACAAATATATAATTTTTTATACATAAATCCCAAATATATATTATATATAATTGATATTTTAATTATTAGACAAAGGGCATAAATACTATAATTATGCGAGAATTGTTAATTTTATCCATCTTTAATTCAAGAATGTATAAAAATGTATTTTACATATATATATATGTATGATTTATATACATTCCTTAATAATATTGTCCCAGCAAATATTGATATGTTTTAGGTTTAGTTAAAACTACATTGTTTCAGCTAAAATAAATGTCTATTATATTACATTAATTATTTCATACTTTATTATAGCTTCCCTGATGGAAATATTTTATTGAAATATTTACTGGAAATCTTTCTCAATTAATCCCTTTTCATTAAAATTTACTAAGATTCTTTAAGATTAATTAAAATTCATCAAAATTCATTAAGATTTATTAAAATTCAGGAAAATTCATTAAGATTGATTAAAATTTACAAAATTAATTTTGTTGTTATATAATAATAATGTAGATTTTACGAATTTTAATGAAAAGGAGCCAATTCAAAGAGATTTTCAGTAAAATGTTTCCATCAGAGTTTCACTTTAAGATGTTCTTTTTAATTTAAAAAATATATTAATCAAGTTAAAAAATTTATAAAATATATATAAAGTAACAAAACGTAAATAATGCAATCATACGAATAGATCAATATTCGTTCCCGCGTTATTTGAGAGTTTTTGGTTATGTCGTACTTTAGTATGTGACAACGAAGCCAATTGACGATAGAAACTTTAGTTTTCTTGGGCGTTATATTTTAAAAACGTGTCACGAACATAAATTTCTTTTAGATGCTGTTGCTATTATAATCTTATATATAAATGTGATATTTGTAAAATATATTATAACTTAAAGGTTAATTATTGTTTTCGGGTACGATACACACACAGTTTCAGTGTTTTTAGAAGTTATCTTTTTAGACGACAAAATGAGTTTGTGGGTTGATAAATACCGTCCTACAACACTTGCTAAATTAGATTATCATCTGGAACAAGCAGAAGACTTAAAAAACATGGTAATTATAATACTAATGTGATATATTAAAGCACTATCTCATGAATAAGGTTAACCGACTTTATAAGTTTTCAAAGTCACAATATTAAACTTTAAAATTAACTGATAATCATAATTATTATTTTCCACTTAAAACATAGGTTCAAAAACGTGACTTTCCACATTTACTAGTGCATGGACCACCAGGTGCAGGAAAGAAAACTCGAATATTGTGTATTTTAAAAGAACTTTATGGGAACGCAGCTGAAAGATTAAAAGTAGAAAACATGCAGTTTGAGGTTTGTCTTGCCTCGGTTTTATTTAAAACAATATGATAATTTACCTGAAGATTACAGTTTTACTGATAATTATAAGTATATAATATATAGCTTTTATTCTGAACTTTCTTTTATTCATTAAAGTATCTATAAATATGTAAGCTTAATGACTAGCTTTTAATCACATTTTTATTAATAAAAGATAATTCAGTATAAGGGATTTTATATGTATATAGTATAAAGAAATTATTAGAAAATATTATGTGATATATACTTTTAGACAGCTTCCAAAAAAAAGTTGGAGATATTAACAATAAGTAGTAATTACCATACTGAAGTAAATCCCAGTGATGCAGGAATACATGACAGGATTGTTGTTATGGAGTTAATAAAAGCAACTGCACAAACACATCATATAGATATTGGCCAAAAAGAGTTTAAAGGTATATAAAAAGATATATATTTTTTATCTTCATATATTATAGATAATTAATAAAGACTGAGAATTAAAATTAGCAGTTTTTTACATTGTAATATCAAACTATTGTATATTATTGTATATTATTGAAAAATGTATATTATTAGTTAACTAGAAATAACATTGTGTTAACTTACATAAATAGTGGTGCTGCTGTCAAATGTCGATCAACTTACGAGAGATGCTCAGCACGCGCTTCGTAGAACAATGGAGAAGTACATTAGTACATGTAGATTGATTCTTTGTGCTAACTCAACGTCACGAGTTCTACCCGCGATTCGATCACGATGTGTACGAATTCGAGTCCCTGCGCCAACAGCTTCCGAAATCAAAAGTATCTTACATTCAATTTGTAAACGCGAAGGACTTAGCCTACCCGACGAATTGGCTAATCGAGTAATCGAGACTAGCAACCGAAATCTCAGACGAGCAATATTAATGCTCGAGGCTTGCAAAGTTGAGCAGTAAGTAATAATACGTATAAACGCATATTTGTGAAAAATTACACTATTATATTTAAATAATTACATTTTCATTATTTTCCGTTAAGTTTTCTCATATTATTTTGCTTTCAGGTATCCATTCACTGCCAATCAAAAGATAACGGAGCCGGATTGGCAAGTATACATACGAAATACAGCTACTATGATAGTTTCTGAACAATCTCCCAAAGTACTTCTAGAGGCACGCAATAGATTTTATGATCTACTAACGCGCGCTATACCATGCGATTTGATATTCAGAGGACTGTTGCAAGAATGCGTAAAGAAATGCGATGACCAGTTAAAAAAAGAAATTATTGATATTGCGTCTGAATACCAACATAGAATGATACGTGGTTCAAAACCTATTTTCCATTTAGAAGCTTTCGCCGCACGATTTATGGCAATCTATAAGAAATATATTGATTTATCTGTAGAAGGTTTTATATAAAATTTCTACATTTCTCAATATTTTTTATAGTTTTGATACAATATGATATTATACTTTGTAATGGTTATAATATGATAGTATTATTATATAAAATTTCAGAATTTCCAAATCTGTTTCTAAATATTTGAATGTTGCAAATATCAAAAAGAAGCAAAATATGTTTTATATTTTTGATTCGATCGCGATGAATTCTAATTTGAGCACACAGCTTTTCCATAATAAAAAATATCTTAAATTTAATTTGTCAATGCGAAGAACTTAATTTATCCAATTAACAGTTTTGAATTTTCATAATAATGGTAATAGAGAGTTAAACTGTTTCTTTCCGTATATTAACATTGCCACTATTTTATGTTGAAGCTATTTAAGAAATATTTGTTATTTATAAATGAAGAGAATATTAATTTTAAACTGTAATAAATACTTATTTTGAATTAGAATGGACTATTAATAAATAATTAAATTTGTGCACTAAATATATATTAGTTTTATTAAATTATTTTATTATATTATTTTATGCAGTAGTTATATAATAGTATTAATGATACAATATAGACTTGAAATAATCTGACAATACAACTAATTTTTAAAGAAAAATTGTTTCCAGACACATAAATAATACTCTTACATTGCTGCAAGTGCAAGCGCAGAGATGGCTGCCAATGCAGATACTATATATCCAGTGTTATATACTCCTTTGATTGTAAGAAACCTCCCCATATCCCAAGCCTGTAAATTCACAAAAGTATACAATATGACACAACTGGCATAAGATATAAAATAATAATATAGAAATCTCATACCAAATGACGCATCCCACTGAATGTATGATAGGTAATAGGCAAGGCTAATAAAGTTTTGCCAAGAAACAATATTGGAAAAGGTAGACATAAATCATTTATTATTTCTATAACACAGGGGATACCACCTGGTATAAATAATGTACCTGAAATGAGATAACATAGTTATCAAATCCATCTTATATTTATTCTTATAGTTATTCCATCTTATATTTATTTTAATAAAAAAAATTGCCAAGTTTGTCTTTACAAATAATTGTCAATCTACTATCTGACTATAATTTATTTAACAAATAATATTATGAATCTTACCCAAACCAAGAAACATTGCATAAGAAGATAACATTATGCCAGTAGTTCGATGTGTTATCGAAAGCACCCATGTCAATTGAACTTCATAGATTGACATATGTGGTGACATTGGTCTCTTTAGACGCATATTCCTCTCATCATGAGATTCACAAGTTACATGTGAAGGATTCCCCATCGTTGAACTTAGAAAGCTAAAACAAGCCTTCTGTTACATTTTTAGTTATGCATACATAACAGAATAAGAATATTCTTAGACATAAATCATAAAAACTCAAAAGTTTTTAGATGTATGAACATTGCTATAGATAATGCACACACAGAGTTCAAGAAAATAATTATTTTTACACCTTTTGCATTAATTATTTAAGAGGATACATTTGGTATGATATAAAAATTACAAAAATTCTTTATCCATAAGTTGACAATTACATAAAGTTGAGGTTATGTATTACATAATTTTACCTGGATGTGTACAGACCCCGAAAATGTCGAAAATCGACATTACGTCGGCAAAGGAGTCTGAAAAATGCAAAACATATTTATTGTTTTAACTAAATAGCACATAAATTCATGATAAAAACCAAATCTCGTAATGTACCTCGTATAGAGCAGTGCCATTTTTTCCAAATATTCTGTACTTTCGACAGATGATAAACAGATACCACTAATGTTTTAAAGAGAGAGAGAGAGAGAGAGTAAGACACTGATCACAGATATTTTTAAATTGTAAGACCAAATAGGATATTCACTAGAATTATGATAACGAGCAATGTATTCTCATTAAATGTATATCATGAACAATTTCTATTAATAAATGAACAGCGGCGCGACACTGCGAATTCGAAAAATCGTTATGTATCGCTTTCCGCGATTTTTATTTCCCAAAGATGTTTCTTGTGCATGAATTCTTGCGGGTAGTATTAACCGTAAGTTTTGCGCATTTATTATAACAAAATATTGTTAAATAGCCTCTGATAATAAAAATAAATATCACGTGATGGGCTGTTGTGAATTCCAAGCGAGATATCGCACATGTCGCGCGTATCGATATACTTCGAGTCATTTCGAGATTCTCATTCTGCGATTTTAGTCACTTCCAGAGCGGATCATAGCGCGCAGTGTAGATTAGGTAAGTCGCTCCGTATTTCTCGCAATTTCTCACTGCCCAAAAATGAGTTTTGCATGTACTATCGTCGAGAATGCGGCGATATGTCGAAAGTAAGCCTCGTGTGTTTGTGGCGACAAAATATCGTTGAACAACCGTCGGAATCTCGCGGAACGACTCGTCTAACCAAGCGTCGCGTTGTTCGCCGCGTCAACGGCGATACGAAGTTCATGCGTTCAAACTGCATTACACATTTTGTGTTAAATGAGATTAGATTAGATTAGGTACTTTTAACTCCCCGAAGAAATCCGGGGGTTATCATCGGAAATGCCAAGCATATAATCCAGATAGAACCCAAAAAATCACGATGACATCAAAATTATGTCAAAATGAAAAAAGTTGTCCAAAAAGCTTTTTCCAATCTCGATTAAAAATTTTCTTATCATTTTGACGTCATCGTGATTTTTTGTCCTGTTTGCATAAGTTTCGTGAGTTTATTGCAGCAAAATGTCAATTTAGACACTCGGAATGAACATCTCGCAAGATGGCTGGTCGAGAGTATCGACTGAAGTGCTGCGCGTATCGAGATACTTCGAGAAACTCAATCATTCAGTTAAGCGGGGTTTACAATAAAAATAGTAGAGTCGTAACCCATACATTCATATATCCTAAGAACGTCCTAGAATATTCTCTGAAAATTTTGTGCTATCTGGGAAGTCGTAGAAATTGCGGTAGAGATTATTCTTCTCATACTCGATTGCGATTGGTCAATTTCTACGACTTACGACTTTACGATTTCTATTGTAGACCCCGCTTTATACTGCAATTCTAAGAATCGTAAATCTCGTAGCTTGTTCTCGTAAAATTCGTAGAATTTATGAATAGATTTACAATTATATCATATATGTCGTACAATCACTTGTAAATATCGTAAATTACATGAAATCGTAGATATTTACGAGTAATTGTACGACGTATAATATTGCATAGAATTGTAAATCTACTCATAAGTTCTTACGTATTTTACGGGAAAAAGTTACGAGACTTACGATTAGCATTAGTCATGAACGGATCACGGCGCGCGGCGTGCATTCGTAAAGTTGTCCCGCGATTTCGGCTTCTTGAAGACGAGTCTTACGCGCGTGTCATTGTTGGGATTGTCGCAAGTTTCGCGCGTCTGTCGTAATGAAACATCGTCGTCAGTGAGTGTCTCGTGAAACGGGTCGTCGGGAGTGTCGAAGCAAATATCGCACATTCGCCGCATTAATAGCGATTCGACGTTCAAGTATACGGATCGTCAGTTTATGCTTTCGATCCGTCACAAGCCTCACACGCGTCGGGAGTGTCAATACATTTAACCTAACTTAACCTAATCTAATCTCGACTAGTAAGTTTCACGCGTTTGTCGTGATAAAAAGTCATTCAATAGCCGTTATGAGAGAATGTCTCGTGAAACAAGATGTCGAGAGTGTCGAATTAAATATCGCACGTCCGTCGCATTATTGTGCATTATTGGGTGTGACTGTCAAATCCTCGGATTGCCGCAATCTACGTTTTCAATTCGTCGAAGATGTTTCGCGCCAATATTCTTATCGACAGCAACGAAAGTAAAGGGTTAATAACTATTTTATCGATGAGATCAGAGATGTCGCCACTATATCATCGAAGTTCAATAGTTATTTCAAAGACAGAAAGAAAGAAAGAGAGAGAGAGAGAGAGAGAGAGAGAGAGAGAGAGAGAGAGAGAGAGAGAGAGAGAAAGAGAGAGAAAGAGAGAATACCTCAAAGTCTTCTAAGACGAGAAATAAATTTCAGCTATCATAATACGCCATCAGTAAGATTGCGCATATTTTCATGGATGACTCAGAGATAATTTTTCAAGGGTAACTTTCTACTTTTTTTATGAATGTATATTGAAATTGTAGATTCTGAATTGGATATATATTCTATTCAATATATAAGGAATATATTGACGAAAATTCTCGAAATATTTGTGAAAGAAAGAGACTTGAAAATAAATAAGTTCAAGGTTACGGTTCGTGAAAAAAATCAATCTTGATAAATGGGTGATATTATTATACTATAATAGTATTATATTATATCTTCAATTAATTATTCTTATATTAAATTAAAATTAATAATCAAGAATTAAATCTTATATCAATATATAGCATATAGAGATAAATACATAAATTTGATACGATCATTGATTTTTTGAAAACAACTTGTTTTCTATTGATAAGGGATGTCGCAATGTTACCATCGTGTAGAACAACATGTTTATCATCGCATGTAGTATTATTATTATAGCAAGTATTATCCGATATTACTTTCCACACATACATACACATACACACATATTACACACCAGTTTCTTTCAGATTCTTTAAACACAAGATAACGTTCTAAACGTATCGAAAGTTACTTTAATCTCAAAAAAAGGTAAAACAAGTAACAGGCTTAAAATGAGAGGTCATGATAATCGCGCGTGAGCATTCCATCGTACAAATTTTAGAATTGTTTATGTCTATGACACTCCTTCTGTGTTTAAAACAAAATAGATATAATTGAAGTTTGAGGGCGAGTAAAAGAGAAACGACAGAAAGTGCAGAAAGTGCAACTGAAATAAGAGAACGTCTTGTCCGGCGCTCCGTGTAACAACCCCTGCAAAATAATCATGACCCCTTTGGCGCAGAAGCGTACAGCACCGCGGTGCGGATTGCGTCGTTACTAATTTGACCGTCGACGAAGTAGTGGGGGGTAAGCTGTAGCGAGAGAGCGTGCGTCTACGTCAGGAAAAGCTCCGAGCTTATTGGTCCCGGTCCATTGTTGCGTATTGATTGCTGCGGAGCAGTGGTATGGTCGTCGGGACACTCGGTCGTCCTCGTCGTCGTCGTCGCCGTCGCCGTCGTCGGTGGTGTACACAGCCGAGATTAGGTTAAGAGGAGCGGGCGCGCGCTACAGATAAAGGAAAAAAAACAGAAATAAAATAGTCGTCTGCACCCGTTGTCGTTGTCGTCGTCGTCGTTGTCGTCGTCGTTGTCGTCGTCGTCGTCGTTGCGCATTCGCTGGCGTTTCTCGTCGTGTTTCATCGCTTCGCGAGTCGCGCGTTTATTACGGTACATCCGCACCTACATGTATACACTTCTACATACATCGCAAAGAGGAAAATTTGAAATAAGAACAAAGAAGAGAGAGAGAGAGAGAGACAGAATATATAAGTATATATAAATAAAAATATACAATATATATCGCATATATATATATATATACATATACGTTACACGGAGGGACAAACGAAAATATCTGTCGCGTACTGTGTACTCGTACACGCGCGCGCGCGCGCGTATGTAACACGCGGCAGTGGTGTCAGTGAATTCTTGTTTTTTCTATTGTTTTCTGTTGCTGCGACTCTCTTTTGTTCGAGACTCAAGAATCGCGATATTTCCCTGCCTGCGGCATCAACGGCAGCGGCAGCAGCTGCTGCCGAGCCTGGTGACACCGAAACCGCGCTGCTATCCCTCGCCAACCAGGACGAACCCCGCGGCCAGTTGACGCGGCTGGTAGTAGCTGCGAGGACGAAGGAGACGGTTCTCCAAGGACAAGGACACCAAAATCCCGAGTTGACGGTGTTCGCACACCCCGAGGAGAACATTTCACGTACGACGCAGGACGGCCACGTACGTCCGCGTATCGGAGCAAGGATCTGCGAGGGTTGCAAACGCTCGCTCGGAGAGTGCGTCGTCAAGGCGACAGTGTGAGCTACCAGAGTGGTCTTGGATACTGTTCCAATTGATAGAAGGCGCTTATGAACGAGAAAAGACATTCTCGGAGCAAGTAGATACGGACAAACAAGCAGATCGAAGAAACGAACGTAAGAGGGTGATAGAGAGAGAAAGAGAGAGCGTGAGAGGGAAAGAAAGGGAGAGTGTGTGAAAGGAGTGAGAGAGTGTGTGAGAGAGAGAGGGTGAGAGAGAGGGTGAAAGAGATTGAGAGGGTGAGAAAAGAGGCGAGAGAGAAGGAGAGACTCGCGACGCCAGCGGGTGTGCGTGGGGCGGGAGCGGAGAGGAGAAAGAGAGCGGAAAAGAGATCGACGGCGGATTCCTTCAGCGCGCAAAAGCTGACGGAAGCTCGTGGTTGCTGGTACCGCGAGGACGCAGCAGCATCGCAGCGGGCCATCGTGCACGGGGGTCCTCGAGGGTAGGAAAGCGCGTCGCGCACCCCGAAGGCGGCGCGAAATTATGAAGCGCATAAAGTGCGCCCTACTGGCCGCCGCCGCAGCTGCCGCTGATAGTGATAGCCGCCGGTGAATGTGTGATCCGGGGGCAGCAGAGATCCGCCGGGATGACGACCGAAGAGACGACCGAGCAGCCCCCGGTAGACGACTGCCTCAAGGAGCGGAAATGGTGGTGCTTCCTGCTGTCGAGCATCTTCACCTTCCTCGCCGGGCTGCTGATCGTGCTCCTCTGGCGTGCGTTCGCCTTCCTCTGCTGTCGCAAAGAGCCCGAACTATCCCCAAATGACCCGAAGCAGAAGGAGCAGAAGACGGCCCGCCAGGGCAAGGAGTTCGAGGGGACTTTTATGACCGAGGCCAAGGACTGGGCCGGCGAGCTGATTTCCGGGCAAACCACTACTGGACGTATCTTGGTAAGTTCTAAATACTTGTTGTTGTGGTTGTATCGGTTGTGCTGAACTCTGTTGGATCATTATAGCTATATGCTAAGTGGTCATAATGGAAGTGTTGGCGCGTACAATTTATGGCGTTTTATTGCGAGATTATTGATTTGGAAGACAAACCGATTTCACATTCCTCTCTCTCTATCTCTCTCGCAGCCTGACCTATATTGTTGTACGAATTTTTCGTTCATGAGTGGATTTTGTTGAAAAAACTGATTCTGATATCAAATTAATAATATTAGCGATACGCTTGAAATGTCAGTTTATTGGTGGATATAATATTTCCTAAAAACATTCGACATACATTCCTTAAGCATACACACACACATACACACACACACACACACACACACACACACACATATCGCAATTTCCAGCATTTCAATTGGCTTTTATTAACTTTTATCTGTGTCGCACTTTATAATAATCCATATATAGTTATATAATATTTTCGATTTCAATATGTTAAATTTTACATGATGATTTCAAAAGGAGATTAATAGAATTTATTAGAACCAGAAATTATAACTCGCGTTCATTTAGTTTATACATTGAAATTTTCAAACATATTGTGGAATATACGTCAGTATTATTTGTTTACATGTCTGTCCCAAGATTGACAAGAACATCGAGTAGACTAGAAGAGTAAGCTCTAGACTCTTCTATTGATAAATATGAGAATGATCTTTACTATAAGTCTGTTGAATTCGTCCATGAAAATTTTGTGCGGAGCAATGTACATTCGCAAATTATTTCATACTTACGAAATTGCTGTAAAATGCCATATAGTTGCGGAGAAATATTTCGATTATGAAAATTTTTCAACTTGCCTCAAAATTGAAGTCCCCGAGACTTTATAACATGTCAAGTTTGATAAGGTTCTTCTATCGCAATACTATTAAGTTTTATTCGTAATTGAATTTCCCGAAAATCAAATGCGCGATTCGGTTAAATAGGTCGTGCGCCGAAGGAAACCGATTTCAAAGAAAATCCAATAAGAGCGTCGATGCGGGCGAAACGCTCAAGGGGGAGGAGGGCCGCGAGAAGGGGTTACAGATTAAAACTGCTCCGTGCAGATTCGTGCCAGTCACGAGACGCCATTACCGAAAATTCGGGTCGGCATTAAACTGTCGTTAAATCTAACCGAAGTTCAAAGTTCGATCGCGATCTGTCTGTTGGACGACATCGCGGGAAAGATGTGAAAGACCGTCCTCTCTCTATACGTCTATCTATCTGTCTCTTTCGTTCGTACCAACGCGCGCCACGGTGCGCCTTTCACCGGGGTACACGAAGATCGGCATAGCGGCGCGTCCCGGACATGCCACAGGGTGAGAACTGTGACGAAGCGTGTACAGTACACGTAAGCTCGTGCGCGGCCACTTACACGTGTACGCGCGCGTGCGCCCGCGCACACGAGATTCCTAGTCTCGAGAGCTCGTATACGAGAGTCGCGTACGTGACCGGTGACCTAGTTTTCGTTCGTGGAACCAGACGCGGCGTCGGCGTTGGCCCCGATGTAGAGAGGGGTGGTTTCTACGCAGTGCGTGTTCTCCACCCCGGTGATATGTATGTTTTTCGTCGCCATCGTGTCCGATCGGACGTCCTTTCCCCTTCGCGATCTTCCCCCTACTCCCGTGAGGCTCGCGTTCAACGCTCGCGAATACATTCGCTCTTCGAGCTGTGAAGCCGTGAATCCTCCCTCCTCCGGCCATCTTCTTACACCCTTGGAAGATACTTCTTACAGCTTCCTATCCCCTCGCGGTTGAATGCGTTAAGTCGAGCGAGAGAAGGCTGCGCCCAATTTACGAATAGCTTTATTCAAATTTTATGGCTAACCCCGCGTAAGGGGCTCTCCCGTCCTATCGGGAGCATAAACGAGGGTAGTACGGAGGATTTACGTGCGCGACGTTACGGCGGAACGGTTTTCAGAGGCCACGATAAGGAGGCAACACCGTGGCCCCTTTTGCTACGCGCCGTAGGGGACGTCGTTCGGGACGCTGCTCTCGAAGGAGTGATCGTCGGATCTCGTCGGGTCGCGCTTGTTCCGCATTTTTCAATGACGCGGGGATATCGACATGCCGCCCTTGCGAAACTTGGCCCCGTTCGTGGAGACCGACGACAGATTGCACTTGGCCATGCGAGATCGAATCACAAGGTTCGACGGGCAGCAGTTACAATCCGACCACGGATAATAGGAATACTTTCTATATTTTCGATCTCGGATTACAATCCCAGAGCCAATTGCAGTACGCGTGTCGACGGTGAGGTTTATCGATGCGAAAGTCCACGGAACTACTATAATATCTCGGTGATAAATAATCCGTTGCTTGTCCGCTGACCGGACTCGCGATTGTAATCTGAATCAACAGATCGTCGGATAATCTTTAATCCGAAAGTCGATTCCCCTTTTTCGATATTGGCCTGCGATCTGTCGACCTTAATCGTTCTTAACGCTACGATTTTTCTGCCGAGTCACGGCGCACTGTAAATCGCTAAAAATTCAATCTCTCCATCGATTAATTATGTTTTCATTACGTTCTAAATGGAGGAACTTTTTTCCGAAAGATTCACGAAGAGAAATTGTTACACTTGTAAGATATTTTATTATCCTAAATCGTCGAGGATCTCAGTTCGAAATTAACTTTGTAGATTTCGTCAAACTTGAAGTGGGGAATCTTGAGGCACAGCATTATACAAACTATCGTTCTTCGATACTACAAATGGCTACTTACTGCATTAAATTTTACAGAATATTTTTGTTTTTAATAGACGTTTGACGGACTTGGTTTAACGAATTGAGAACGAAGGAATACCCGAATTATGTCCCGAGATTCTCCACTGATGTCTAATTTTGTTGGAATTTATTAAGTTAACGCAGAAGCAAAATTGCAACTTAATATACATGTGAAAACATTTCAAAATTAAAAAATTAATACTAGTGTTGTCGACAATATTGTTTTGCATATTTCAGACTCCTTTAAACTCGAATAAAATCGTACATTTTACTGTGCGAATGAAATATGCATTTTTTTCGAGCTAATTTATAATTTTCCACATTCGCGAATATGCCTAACTTTAAATAGCATTTTGAGCTTTGAATGAGCATTTGCTCTAACAATTATCATGGTGAAATATGTCCGATGATCAATTAGTAACAAGCGTCTATTTGACAGCGCGCTGACTATTACCACTTTACAATAAAGCCTATGCTGCCGAATAGCATGTGGATTCTGAACCGTAGAAGTTTCTCGCTGGCTAGCGGGCCTATTCTGCGACATTTTACATTATGAAGCGCCCGCTAATGAAGTTTGTTTCACAGCTCTGGTAACGAAGTTCGCGTTACGCCGCAGCGATAACGTCATCAAGACGATCCGTTAAAGCTTGTTCGTATATCAAATTTGTGGCGATTGCAAAGAAGTCACGTCCTTCCGAGCACGTTTATCATGACGACGCGCGTTTGTCGGAATCGCATTGGTAGTTTTCGCCGTTCAACTATTTTTCGATTTCTAATCTTTCTCACGCGAGTCGAGACACGGAGTAAAACGGCTAAATACAAAATAAACAGCACAAGGGAAAAAAGTGTGCGATGAAAAACTATAAAGTTGCCCCGCGAAACAGGATTCAGGTCAAGCGGTTTGTAGATTTAAAACGTTAAAAAACGTGAAGTTATATTTCTTGATGGAATAACTGCAGTCTCTCTCTCTCTCTCTCTCTCTCTCTCTCTCTTTCTCTGTGAAATTTGTCATTTTTGCGCCGAACAGCGTCGAACAGTTTAAATAAAGTATGACGCCACAGGGATTAAATCGTGACAGTTAAATGAAGAATATTTTTGGTAACATTATTTTTTTATTTAAAAGATGGTTATTCTTCCGTTGTCTTCAAATTGCGATATTTCCAATTGAAATACCAACAGCGCGACTGTCGTGCCGCCCGATACTTGTCGGTGCAAAATTATCTTTGCGAATCAGGCAGCGGTGCAATATAGCCTATTTTTTACTCGCCAATACGATTCAGTTCATCCGTTGTAAATATCGAAATACGATTGAGCGACATAAATTTTGTCACGCGTATACACATTCTCACGAGTTCCACCGGACGGAGTAAGTCGCTTTTGGCATGATTTTTGCAACTCGGTCTCAACTATTAAAACTAAACTTGTATCGACCTTCGTGACCCTCAGGTCGCACGGGACTACAGGCAGTAGAGTTCTCCCGGCTTTATTTCAGTAGCTGCAAGGAAAGAGATGTAGAATATAATTTATGAAACATTACTCCGTCTAGACAGCTCTCCCACGGAGAAATAACAGCGAATTGTGTTCTGGCAGTACAGACGCGTTATTTTTCTGTCTTTTGGCGTGATATACCCTTAACTTTATTTTATATTTTAATTTTACGGCATTTTGTGTTCAAGAAAATTACTACTATACTTCCTTCCGTTTCTCCAAAACTCAGCAAAGTTTTCAGAAACATCGGCAACGTGGTACAAGTACCGCATTACGAATGTTGCCTGTGCGTCAATTAATTTCAATAGTTGCATGTTCGTTAAAGAAATCAGAAAGCACCTCGATAACAAGAACGTTTGATAAGTTGCTTCGTTAACGAGCTTGCGTGAACAAACGGTTTTTCCGGTTTCTTTCTCTCTGTACTCATACTTTGTGTTCGATTATTTTCACTCGATTTTTATATGAAATTCGGCTTTTCGCGCACGCGAACTCGTCACGTCGCTTGCGATACGGCACGTCGAGCTCGTCGTTGACAAATCAACTCCGGCTTGACGGCTGCCGCGGTAAAACGCGGGTTGGATACTGTCGGTTTCGGAACTGTCGCGAACTTCTCGAATATTTAAGCTGTCCCCCGATCGCCAGCTTTTTATCTCGTTGGCCGTGTGTGCCCGCGCACGCTGCACGTCCGTCTGATAGCGTCACCGGGAGCGGGAAACTTTTCTGATCGGACTTTTCCCGATAGTTCGTG